ATTGTGGTGGTGTATAGAGCCAAAGATGTTAGAATTGTGTCGATGTCCCAATATTTCTGGACCTGACAGTATATGGGGACTACAGCCAGCATGGCTTATGTTACCTGCCATTTCCAGAGTAGATGGAGCTTTGGGTCTGTTTCCTGGGTGTTTTGGAGCTGGAGAGGTTTAATGGGAAAATGGAACAAAATCAACCCCCGTCAGAAAACAAATGGGCTTTTCCAGGTTTTTTAAAGGGTAAAATGGGAAACAGTGAATGGAAATGGAATGCTGGGGAAGTGCATGCAGCCAAGGGCTATCTACATCTGCTCTAAAACAACACACCTGAAAGATGCATATATCGTGGCCCCCAAAACCTGAAAACCTCTAGAAGTTTCCACCAAAATATAATTTTTAATGTTATAGAAGTGAGAAATTATTGAATACATGAGGAGTAATCATGTCACTTTAAAAGTTAAGTTTGTATATTAGCCCTACTCAATACTTATTGGATGGTGCCCCACTATATCACTCAAAGAATCTTGGCTTGAAAACATTTATGTGCCAATAATCCATATTAAAATAATCACCTTATCAAGCATGTCCCCTGGTGCAATGTCCTTTGTCTGTCCAAGGAGAAGAAAATCTGAAACTCCTTGCGCTACTGCCAGTATACAATGACCCCCAGAGAGCAAAAGGACAAGAAAAGGAAATGCTACGAAATTTGTCAGTCGGGCAGTGAGTGCATGTGCTTCCATATGATGGATAGGGATGAAAGGTTTCTGATGCTTCTTCACCAGTCCTAAACTATATTTCAATCCAATTCCAAGGCTTAACGCAAGTCCTGGCATCACTGTTGTTGCAATAGCCGAGATATCATCCATACTGACACCACTGGCTGAGACTGCATGTTGTACCACCCTTGCAATATTTTCTTGGTGAAGCTGTTGTGCTACTGCAGGGATAATGCCACCTGTTCTAATTAGAAACAAACATCTGCATGTGAAATCTATTGGACTAATTTAAACACTGGAGGATTGATGTCTCGGCAGTTACCTTTTTTTCTCCCACCTGCCCTGTTGATGGGCCATCAGAGAATGATGGTATTTTACTGACCCATTTCAGTCTCCTGACATCACTAATCAAGTTACACTATTAACATTATGTCTATCTTACAGGATTCTCGTGACAGTAAAATTGGGGGTGGGAGAAATTTTATTTATTTATTTATTTAGCAAATTTATATAACTGCCCATAAAACACCATATAGACTTCTAGAGGTTCTGGAGGAAAAATGGCAAGTAAATGCAAGAAACAAATTGTGATCTAAATCTAATGTTTCTAACTTCCTATGGCATTCTGTATCAATGGGGTCCTTTTTCTTTCCTATTTTACAGGAAAACTGGTAACTCAGAAAGCAGTTCACCCCTTTAATTCAAGCAGCAGTCTCCCTAAAAATGCTTTCAGTCAAGAACTAGTTCTTTAACAGAAGCTGAAAACCTCACAACTATCATCAATGCTTATAATATGGAGGTTTTACTACAGAATATGCTTTTGGGGGGACAACACTTCAAATAAGAGTGTTCAGAAACTCCAGTGGGTAAAAAATTTCAACACCCACTTCTTGATAGAAGGACCTACTTGGCCTGTTCTGCTGATTTTGAACTATAAATATAGAAACAGTCTGACAGCAGACTACCATAATTTTCTAATATGAGCTAGAGGCCATTTTCAAGATATCTTTGGGTGGGGATATAAAATATGATATAAAATAGTCCAGACATTAGTAAGTTTTAACTTCCTTATAAACCCTACTTTATTCAACCTTTGCTGCCAAAGGAGGTCTCTACAAACCTTCAGATAAGGAGAGCCTGTTCCTTTTCTAATAATTAACATAAGCAACATAGATTAAAATTTTATAGTTTCTTTTATTAAGCTGTAATAAAGTGTTTTCTCTGGATGCTACACATACTTCAGTTATTCAAACTGGCATCATTCCTACCTCAAAGCCCTAATTTTAAAGGAAAGAGATTTTCAACTTTAATTTTTAAAGGGATCCGATTTCCAGAACTCTGATACATAGAAATGGCAACAACACTAGGCAAACTATAGCAGCTAAAACATAATTTCACCCACAATGAGAATTACTTACTTTAAATGAACATCAGTTTGAGAATGTAATGCTTCTCCTAAAATGCTACCAGTTTCATCCACCACAGCAGCTCCTGTATCATCACAGCTAGTTTCTATTCCCAGGACTATTTTAGTAGAAAAGAACTTGCCACCATGAACAGAGACCTCTCTTAAATAATTATTCCAATAACATATAGGAGACTTCAATATTCTTCCCAAACTGGTTGCTGTTAAAGATTTCAGTAAAGAGGGACTCCTACAAAGAACCTGTACAGAAATGAAATTTAGAACTTAATGTCTATTAGTTACCAACAATCTGCTTCATACACATTCTAAACTGATTGGGTATTTCATGCTGATAGTCCATAAAGTGTTTTTTTGTTTTTGGCTTAGAGGGAAACTATGGCTGATATACCACAACAGATAGACTCACACAGCACACTAAATGTTTGAGTGAACCTAGAACTAAGATACATATGGAATAAAACTCCATAAAATATTATTGCCACTATTCCCTAAAGATGAAAGAGCCAGTTTGATGTAGTGTTTCAGGCACCAGATTAGAAGCCACAGGAACTTGCTAGCAATGCAAGGAAAGGAGTCGTTTGAACATCTTGGGCCCTTATTGTTAACAGCAACATATAATACAACACAAGTCCATATAAACTTTCCCCATTTTGTAAACCTTAAATTTGTAATGAATTCTGTAATTTTTTAGAAATGGGTCAGCTGCCTCCAGGACTGAATGAAGCATGAGGTATAACCCTATACATAAAACATGTCCTTCATATGGAAAATATTTCTATCTAGATGCAGAAACTAAGAGTTGAGATCAGGTGAATAAGTTAAGCATTTAGAATTAACTGAAAATGCTTTATATATGGAGTTTTTACCTGTGTCAGAGTCATGGTTTTAGAACAGGCTTTCTGAATTCACACTTTGCATTTCAGGGTCTCCTGAGACAGACAGACAAAATCTGAAATAACAAATGTACATAAAGTAGTATTTCTCATGTGCTTTCCCAGAAAAGTGAGTTGTATGTAAGCCAGAACAGTATTATTGTATAATACTGTATAAGTAGCATTGTAATGAACTTGAACCATTGTGTATTTAACTCAAATCACTGTGCATTTAACTCAAATTTTGCTATAATAGGCTCCGTTCTTAACTGTGGGTCTGTAACCTGGGCGTTCTTAAACCAGGGACTACCTGAATATCCTAATCTCAAAGCTCATTTTGGCTTGACATGTTGCACAAATCCATCTTATGTTTATGTTTGAATTCCATACACTACTACAAAGAAATCCCAGGGCTACCTTAATTATAACTATCAGAAATAGCAAATTCATGATTTGTTAAATCAATATTGGCTTCTGTATAACTGTTTGCCTGCCATTAAAGTCAGGATTTTATTTCAGGGAACACAAGAAGTACAAGATTAGTATTTGTAAATATGGTACTTGGCATTTTCCTAGAGGGTTTAACTGTGCTAGAAATATTACAACACATCTGCTTCTTCAAGGCAGGAATGCAACTGGACTTACTGGGCGTGAGCAGATGCTGAGCAATCTTTGCCCAAGTTTCCTGTCATCACCTATTTATATATATCATTATATATATCATTATATATCATAATCTCATCATTAGATTTGTAATTCCTGTATGCTTTTTCTTTAAAAAAAATCATTAAATTACCTTTCCTATGGGAGTACACTATTAACTATATAAACAACATCATTTTCTAACACAGCCCTCCTTAACCTGGTATCCTCCAAATTAATTGGACAACTAATGCCATTATCAAATTTGTATGAAAATCACTTTCAATATTATCAAGATTATGAAATCTGCATAGGAACAGAATTATAACCAGATAAATTAAAATCAAAGCTTAAGAATGGAGATATGTGTATAAAAAAAGCTACAATGCCAAGAGGAAAAAGAACTATAAGGCATTTGCCTAATACAATCTTAAAAATGTATACTGTTAATTGTGCTTTTAAGTTTGTACTTTTTCAATTGACAATTGAATTTCAAAGAACTACTTTCTGTGAATCATACTGTTTACTCTGAATATATGTTGAACATAAAGGCAATATATTGAACAAGGGAGGAAAAGCAAACTCATTCCATGTGTTTTTTTATCTTATTTGCATCCTGAACAAAGAGATAATGCCACTTCCTCTCTGTAATACTGAGCAAGTAGGCTCTTAAAGAAATAAGGAACTTTAGAAAAGAACTTCATTTTTTCTTGATTTTAGAGTTTCGAATTAATGCAAATTTAACTGATGCCTCACACCTAAACAGTACAGGTAGTCTTTGGCTTACAAGAGCAATTGGGGCCAGAATTGCCACTGCTAAGCAACATGATCTTAAAGCGCCACATGTGTTGGTGTCACTTAGTGACAGTAATTCCAGCAGTCCCAGTTGTCGTTAAACAAGAACCTCATGCGACTGCAACTTCCGATTTCCTTTTCCCATTGACTTTACTTGTGGGAAGCTGGCAGGGAATGTCAGAAATTGCGACCATGTGACTGCTGCTTGCCAGGACACTGTAATCCCAAGCCGAGTGCCCAGATTGTGATCACGTGACTGTGGGGACAAGGGGCTGGGGATATTTTAAGATGGCTCTATAATTGTGTTTAATTTACTCTCTTCTGTACCTGATGGTTGTATTTTTAATAATTATTGTTTTTTATATATTTAGTGCCTGGAGGCTATGCAGGTCTGAATAGGGAGGAACAGACTCAGACTAATTGTGACAAAACCAACTGGCTATGTTTATCTGCCCATGGATTTATTTCATCACTAGTTCTCAGTGGGATTATACTTCCCCATTTGAGACTTGTGCTTAATCTGGGGGTCCTCTTGGACTCAGCTTCTGCTTGAAGAAGAGGTGGCAGCTGTGCCCAAGAGGGGCTTTACATAGGTACATCTAGTGCACCAGTTGCATGCTTTCTTGGACCCTTTCAGATAACCACTCTTGCCCAGATCATCTCACAACTGGATACTTGCAATTTGCTCTATGTGGGGCTGCCCTTTAAAACCATCCAGAAGCTACAGTTAGTCCAGAATGTGGCAGTGTGGGCAGTGATGGGGACATATTTTGCTCACATGACCCCACTGCTTCATGAGCTGCAATGGTTAGTAGTTGACTTCCAGGTGCAATTCAAAGCCCTTCACGGTATACAGCCTGGTTCTTTGTGGGACTGCTTATTCCTACAATTTTGGCCCATCTGGTATGATCAAACAGAGTGTATGCACTACGGCTCCCATCAATTAAACAGTGTCATCTTATAGGACTCAGGAAGTGTGCCTTCTCTGTTGCAGCACCTGCTCTCTGGAACAACATTCCCCCAGAGATTTGTGTAGCTCCTACCCTAATGATGTTCAGGCAATAATTAAAAACTTGGTTGTTCTTCCAGGCCTTGGGATAGGGTGGTTGTAGAATCCCCAGTAGTTAACTTTGGCTCAGTAGTTGATTGTATTGTTCTTCTGGTTGGTTATGATTTTTTTAATACGTACTGAGCTTTTTTATTTGTAAGCCACCCAGGGTTGCTCAGGAGTCAGGTGACCTCTAAACTGGATAAATAAAAGTGGGATGATAGAATCAGCAGCTGATATAAGAGCAACATAAGAAATACAAATGGTTCAAGCAACGTATTCTGCAGATTACAATCAATAATGTAAAATACATGTAAGTTTAAACAAACATTCATTTTCTCATTTACAGAAGAGGACAGTAGAATATACAAGAATTCTAGCAGAATATAACAAGAAATCTAAGTCTTATGGCATCTTAAAGACTAATGAATGCATATATTTTTGTGGATCTCAGTCCACATTCTGCCAGAAAACCTTATGGGATAATAAAATTAATCTATCTATCTATCGATCTAATTTGTCACTGCCCATCTTGTTGAAAAGCAATTCTGGGTAGTTTACAAAGGAGATTAAATCAATTAAAATACAATATAAAACAATTTTAAAAATAATACATAGATTCCAAGAATGAGGGAATTGGTGAATAACTCAGGAGTGACATCAGGGCACTAGCCACCCCCAGGATTGATTAAAACTCTTATCACCCCATGCAAGCTGGCAGAGCCAGGTCTTAAGTTCTTTCTGGAAAACCAGGAGGTTAGGGGCCAATCGCACCTCTGGGAGGAAAATATTCCAAAGGGCGGGGGCAACAGCAGGGAAGGCTCTCCTCCTACGCCCCACCAGCTGACATTCTCTCACTGATGGGGTCCGCAACATACCCTGACTGGGTGGGACGGGTTGATGTAATGGGGGTGAGATGGTCCCTCAGGTAACCTGGACCCATGCCATGTAGGGCTTTAAAGATGATAACCAACACAAATGGTTAGTCTTGCAGATGCCACAATAGTGCTAAAGACTAATACAGCTATTCCCTTGATGACCACTGACAGCATTTGTAGAGACTCACTGAGAAGTGTGTTGATAAGAATGAGGAATCTTCTTTCAAATGCTGAGGTTACTGCATTCTCTGGGAAGCTCATCACAGCTGCTGTGAAGACTTTCCCTGGTCACTGCCTGATGCATATACATGCACAACCATTTCACTTCACTAACAGTCCCAGTGGAAATCATGTTTGTGCTGTACATACAGACCTGGGAAAGCAGTGAGCTATCTAGAGGATACAGCTGCCTCTGTGCTTTGAAAAAGGACACTTCATTTGCTCTGCAAAGTACCTATCTGTTCAGTGATTTGCACTGAAAAGGACCCTAACCCTAGGAGACAGAATACAGCTGCTGTGACGCCCATGCATTGTTGTAGCATTATAAAGCCTAGTCTTGTTGTTATTATTCAGAGCATGGTGATTATTGGGTGATGCTGTGGGATAGTTAGGGATTACCAGTGAGAAAATGATATTAATTCAGGCAATAATACTACAGTACAGCAGTAAATTGCCTTTTCTTCTTCAAACAGGGGTGTACTGGGCCATAGTGAAATAAAAATCTTTATTTCAAAGGTCTAATCTGATTGCAGTCACTCACAAGAAGATCTTCTCAATGGCAATGTCTACAGCCTGGAATGCACCCTCCCCAGAAATGTGTAAGGTGCTTACTGTTACACCTTTCAGATGTCTGCTGAATATTTTCTCTTTACCCAGTCCTTTTTGTATGAATGTTGGGTTTTTGTTTCTGCTTTTGTTTTCGTTTCCCCTTGTACATACCATTTTTACTTTTACTGCATATTGTACATTTCAAGATATGTTCGTACTGGAAGCAGTATATGACATTAGTGTGACACTGGAGAGAGAGGGCACCCAACTAGCTGTTCTTTAAGAAGCGTGGAAAGAACACTGCCTTGGAAATGTAGCTTCCCAAAGGCACCTTTGAGATGGAATATCTTGCATTATATTCAAATAAATATTGCAGGGTTTTATTGCACCAGAGGAGGGAACTCCGGTGTACGCGCTAGGGCGCAGTGCAGATTCTCCAGCACATGGTTTCTGGACTTCACCTACATTCAATTTAGCTTATTCCTGCAGGAGGCTACAGAAGTTGGAGTCAGCACATCTGAGGTTGGAGAAAGCTCATTCGCCGGCTTCACAAGAAGTTCAGCTCTTTTAGCACTTCCTCAGAGATAAGCAAGATTCTCCCCATCCCTAGCACAGAAAGCGTTTGCTGTCCACACCCTTTCCTCTGTTTCCGCAGACTTTTTCCACCGAATGCCCTTTCTTCCCACACATTACCTCACGCTCAGCGCACCCGCCCATTGCACGGCCTCCGCAGAAGACTTCTTCCTTCGGCCCCAGCAGCGTCGGGCCGGAGAGATGGCGCTTAGCCCTAGCCTCGGAAAAGCCGTGGTCACGTGAGGGAAGGCGGGCCAATTGAATTGCAAGCAAGGCACGGAACGACACCGCGGAGGGAAAAATCTTTGCTTCGCGGGAGCTGGAAAGGCTAAAGAGGAGAGGACGATTAAGAACGGCAAACACCCTACATTTCCGGTTTGGAGGACGCGGAAGTGAGCGAATTGCAGACCGCTTGCATTTAATAGGACTCTGTGTAGGGAAGCGGGAGTTGACTTAGTTGAATTATGATTGATTCCTAATTTGCTGAAATTAGATATGTCTTTCCGAATGAGGCCACAACAAAAAGGAATCTTGCTGGGAACAATATATATGTATATGATGCATACACACACACACATATATGCGGTTATCGGGGTAATTGTATAAAAATGGGGAGGACCCGAGCATAGTCTATCGTTTGGTGTATAATAATTGTAGGCGTCGCTTACATGACTCTTTTTTAAATGGCCGAGGAGCCAAGCGCATATTGTACAAGGTACAGTAGTTTTGTTGTGGGTGCAATAACTTGTGTTTCCTTCCACCGTGTGGTTAGTGGCAGGAGGCAGATGTTTTGTTATGTAATGGGATATGCTTCAAAAAAAATCTTACTCTTTAAGATGAGCCAGCGGAAACGGGTCAGTGGATCAGCTAATCTGTTTTGAGCAATGAGGACCAGCTGTTTTGATACATGCAACACCACAATGTTCTGTCGCTACACTCACATGTTGGGCAGTGCCTCCCTGATCCATGTTTTATTCAATTAACCTGATTTTCTGAATTTACATGATACACTGAGCCATTGTGCTGAGTTTCTGCAACATGCTAGGGCAAAATGAAGGTGACTAGTTTATGGTTCATTGTGCTATCCAAACAGACTGGAATTCCAAGCACATTTATATTATACTAAACTGGTCTGTTTAATAAGCAAAAATTAGCTGGACTGATACAGTAAATCATAAGCTAAGGTTTATAAACCACAACTGTTGCCTTTGCATTAAACCCAAACTTTGCTAGGAAACTTACCAAGCTCACCGGTGATTCCACCTTTAAAATAAAGATCTCATGACCAATCTTGCTTAACTTTTGTCACTCACTAAGGTTTTGAAAAAAGTTTGTTGTTTGGACAATAGTCACAGCTTTTGAACTGGATATTGCATTACATTAGTTTCAGCCATGAGAATGAATCTTTGCTGCTTCTATAGAAGACGAAGCTCAACAATTCTAGGAGTTACATATAATTCAGCAAGTGGAACTTTTCTCTCCATGAAGTAGGAACCCTGCATTTCTTTGTCTTTCTGTTTCCCAAAACAATTGCCACAACTGTTTTTGTGACTAATAATCTTTTGTCAGAGTAAAGCAATCAGAGTCAGGACCTATAAACTATAATGGTTCTATTATTAATAGATGTGTTTAGTAACATGCATTTTAATAGTGTCTGCTGTAACCTCATGCTTTACATATCTACTCAGAACCAGGTTCCACTGAGTTTTAAGTAAGTAGACATAGGATTACATCCTAAGATTTTATTGCTCCTATTCTCAATAAAGCCTCAGTCATAGGTACTTCAGCCTTTGATGCAATGATAGAAGGAAGCTAGGATGATACATTACAGTAAGGCACAGTGTGGTTTATTTGGTGTGGCTTAGTCACTGTAATAGATAAACCATGGTTTATGCCTTAGCATGTTGTTGTGAATCTAGTAAACTGTTTAGTCCATAAACTGCAGTTAAGCAAAATATGGCTTAACAGGTGAACTCACATTACCTCTAAAGATGGAATATTCGTTTTCTTCCAAGGGTTATAAACAGAAGTGTGGCTCTCTATTTAAGATACTATACCAACAGATTTCCTGCAATGAAATTGGGTAAGCTTACTTTAGATGTTCTTCCCAGCTCAAATTCTACTGTCCCTTTTCACCAGTCTTGTCTGACTTCCTTTATTTTGCTATTACATATTTGCATAAAGATTTTTTAGTAAAAAAAGAATACCATATAATTGCTCTGCGATTATCCAGTGTATCAAAAGTAGTGGCATGGATAAATGTGGGTGTTTTTAAAAAAATATTTTTCCATTATAGAAACAGAGTTTCTATCATGCAACTTTAGAGCAGAATTCTTTTGAAATAAAGTAAAATAACCCAAGATTTTAATGCAAGCTGCAAACATATTTTATGTCTATCAACAGTGTGATGCCTAAAACATGCTCTGACACAGGAATCTGGAATTCCCATCAGTTCAGGGTTTCCAGCATGCTGAGGGCCACCTCTGAAAATGGATCGGATGGGAATTCCAGGGAAGAAATGGTGACCTGAAGATGGCTCTGCTAAAAGTGGAGCTGATGACTGTGGTGGAATGAAGAGCTGGCAAGTAGACCGGCTCTTCATAATTCCTCTCGTGGGCAATCTCAAGTCCTCTCCTTGTCCAAAGTGCTCCATACAGTTGCTCCTTATGAGAAGACCACAAGACAGCATTCTCCAGTGGGTTTAGAGCTCTGGGACATGAGGGAATAGCCATCTTGCTGAAACTGTAGTTGGTGCCTTTAAGGACACTGGGTTTGCATGCTTCCTCTTCTAATTGCGTTAACTGCTTTCCAGCTATTAGGAATTTTTGGATCCACAAGTTTTACAGCACCAGGTGAGTTTTGTTCAGTCCTTAGCAAAATAAGTTTTAAATCCTTAAATAAGTTTTATTTTGGAATAAACAGCAAAAGGGTGATTAGAACTTTGATTTTGGAAAGT